AAACTTGGTTGTTGACTCACCTAGCAATAAGATGGCACAATGCAGCAGGAACAGCCTTCCAACTCGGTTGGTGAATCACCTAACAATAAGGTGGCACAATGCAGCAGGAACAGCACAATGTAGAGCTGGTTGAACAAAGTCAAGGTTTTATAGAAAAGTATGAATTTTCATAAAACTTTGACATTTGAGTCAATAATTCGCTCGCTGTTCGTTGGAATAATTTCATTTTTAAATTTATTATGCCGGAAGATTTACAATTGTTACGTGCTACTCCCATAAGAAACAGGGTAAACATACCGCCAATTTGACCAAGTTGCGGATACATATATGTGTGTATAATACGATGGACAATCCATGGTGCCGCAGCTTAATTTGCGCTTAACACACATATATATATTAGCACAGATTTTTTATAATTCTGATGAGGGTGCAATATTAGCACCGAAAGCTAAAGAAATAAATTGACATAATACTTATCAATTTGGCTCGTAGATATCGTCTTTGGTTTCATCTTTAAGTTGAAAATAATCCGAGCGTTAAACAATTCTTTTAGTATGAATTTTGTTCACAACATACTTACAAATCGCAATGTTAAATCATACACCAATATGGTGGTACAATGCAGCAAGAGCAAAAAACATGGTTGTTGGATTCACCTAGCAATAAGGTGGCATAATGCAGCAGGAACAGGCTTCCAACTCGGTTGGTGAATCACCTAACAATAAGGTGTCACAATGCAGCAGGATCAGCCTTCCAACTTGCTGTTGGGATGTTGAATCACCAGGCACTCGGGTGCTATGTTGCAGCAGGAACTGTACAGTGTAGAGCTGGTTGAGCACAAACACAACATTTAATAGAAAATGTATAAATTGTATGCGCGTTCATACTTACAAATCGCAATGTTGAAGTTCAAACCAATACGTGGTACGTTGCAGCAGGAACAGCAGCAAGGCGCTTTTTAAATGCTCTGGACTATTTATTTGGGGCTAGTTAAGAAAAAAGTATTACTTTAACTAAAAATATGGAAACCATAAAAAAGATAACTTACCGACGCAACTAAAACTTCCGAAATTTTTTTCGCAATTTATTGAAAGAACGCAGGTGAATGTCAAAGTAGACTTTTCGAGTGGTGCACAGCGTCGATAGAGCTAGCAAACCAGCCCAACATTTTTGTATTAGTATGCGTACAATAGCAAACTTCACAATCTCCCTGTGCGAGGAAACCAAATAATATAATTCTTAACAGAAGTTCCTAAAACTTAACAGTTTGGCCATGATAAATACAGTTGAAGCTAATTTCCTGTATTTCTCTTACCAAAGAATTCACAATAGAATCAATCATCCTAGCGCCTGAAACTATACTATTTGTTTACTAGCGCCGGCAGCTATAAATAACGTATAGTGCTTTTACGTTCCTTGGCAAATTACTCTCTGTTAGGCACAACTTTTACTGTGTTTTGACCGCCTTTGTACCAAGACCCATGGAAAGTCTAGGGAATTCATTTATATTTTAAATTGCATTGTCATCGTGATTGGAACTATGCTGACAATTTCAAGTCTCTACCTTGACGGGAAGTTAGTTTGAAATCGATTGGAAATTTCCACGGGGTGATCAAGTAAAAAAAACGCTGTTATACCATGTGCTGACCGACATCGAAAACATGTTTTCGTTGCTAAAACTGGTTTTCGACCTAAAACTTGTGTTTTCGTCAATGTAAAATCTGTCAAACGAAAACAAGTTTTCGCTGAAAACCACTTCAAAACTCACGTTCCACTCATTCCAATCGATGTCTGCACTAGTTTTTTTCGATTATTTTCGAAGTGGAAGTCATATTTTATCATCTTTAATACGCCATTTCGGATTTATTGTTAATTGGATGACCAAAATGAAATAAGCATGGAAGTAAAAGGTTCTTAATGAAAAGAAATTGAAGGAAAAGTATTTTGGTTTTGTATTTGTGCAGCAAAACTGTAAACAAAGGATGTAAGAAATGTCAACGAAAACACCAACAGTCGGTGTGAACAGCCTTCAGCCCACAATCCCAAAACTCGTTTTCAAGGTGTTTTCGTTGTAGGTCAGAACATTGTATTAACAATAAAACGCTGTTGCTGACGTTCAAGTCAATCCCTTTAATTTCATACCTCGTTTTGTAAAATCGAACGAACGGTACAGAGCTGGTGATGTGACAAAAAAGCTATCGCGTATTATGCATTCAAATGTATGCACATTACGGTGTTCTTGAACCAGGTTCAACCGCATCGGTCTGAAATGATGGAATTTCCAATTAAACTATTTTGCGTGGGTATTCCCTAGGCTGATAGCTGTTATAAATTCTTATAAATGCGCAGGCGCGTGTCTAGGTACACATGCGAATGTGATAAGATCGTAAGATCGTTTCCGTGCTAGTCAAAACAACCGCGAATCTGTCCTAATGTGAAACATGGAAAGGTTCCGAAGTCAACAGATGTTTGCTAGTCTTCAGATACGTCCCGAGCGTGAGCGTTAAGGAATCTATGTATGTGTTTTCTAAATGTTGTGATCGTACAGATTTGCCCGTGACTCATGAGGGTTATTGAACTTAAAATTGGAGAGCGGCCTTCACGAAGATTCGAGGTTATTTACAACAGAGGAAAATCAAAAAGCAATATAAGTAGGGCTGGGACTATCCGCATATTCGAATATTCGGAAATCCATCCGGATTATCCGTTGACACGGACACTATTCTTGTCCTCACTTTTTTGGAAATGATCCCAAATTTTACTTGGTGTTTTAGCACTCATATTTGTGCACGGAATAGATCTGACGTATATATAATAATGAATAAACACTTTTTGTGAATAATTTTTCGATGTGTGCTTCAACGATCTAATAACTTTCGATCTGCACACAATAAACATTATTCAACGAAAAATCCGGATATTCGGATATCCGAATATTATCGTAGCATCCGGTTATCCGGATTTTTCGTTTAGGTATCCGGATATTCGGTTTATCCGGATAGTTGAAAAATCCGGATGAAATTCCCAGCCTTAAATAAAAGACAAGTTTTTTGCATACAACCCATCTGAGCTTAAATGAACGCATTTGAATAAAACAATAATAGAATAGCTACGCATTCAGTTGATCTGTATAGTAAAAAACAGTCTACCTCTAGACGAAGTTTTTCTATAAAAAAACATTCTCCACATACTACGAGCACATGGTGAAATAAAAATAAGGTGATATCAGTAATCCAATATGGCGTCGCATTTGGCAAAATTGGCCGTCATAAATTACAATGTTGCATACCTGCTTGAGAGCAGGTGAATGCCCACTGCACAATTCTTGAAACGGAATTCTGAGCGAGTCGGGACCAACGTGGGAGCGAGCGGAGTTCCAGTGGGCTGAATTGCGGAGAGCGGGATTTTTTTATGCAGAAGAGAGAATGCAACATACATACATACATATTGTCAGCAGCGGCGCGATCGCCCCAACGTCATCGAGAGCGACCAACCAGCCACCGCAACCAACAGGGGAGCAGTTGAGAGGCCAGGGTTTTTTGTCTTTCTGACTGCATTCAGTTAGTTTCTGATACTTATTTATTTTACGAATTTTTGAAGTTTTACGGATTCCGCCTATTTTTTTTTATACGTTTTTTTGCTTAAGTTTTTTTGAATTGTTGCCTTATTTTCTTATTTGCCAATCCTTTATATTTAGTTACGTGTCCGATTCGCCGGTCCACCTCAAACTTCGGTTTGTTTTTTGTCCTTTTATCCTGATTTATTTGCTTTCTGCATTTTTATCATCCCTTGTTTTGCATCGCACCACATGGTTCTAAGTTTTATATGAATTTTCCTTAAGAAGTTTAGTTTGGTTGTCTAAGTTTTTATATCTTTTTTTTTATAGATTTTTTAATCACTGCTTTTTTTTCGCTAACATATGGTCACTTGTCACTTCGGTTTCTAATTCTTTTATGACATCGCGCAGAAATTTAGTTTATCCTTTCTGTATTTTTTTCATTTTTTTCATTTTGTCAATTTGCACTGAGTTTAGTTTATTTGCTTTAGATTTCATTTAATAGCCCAAATTTTGATTGACTCCTCATTTTATTATTATTTAGCAAAATTTTTGTGTGCCTCGCTCGTTGCCCGCTAACACGAGCGAGTCATCAGAGCTACGAATAGAGTTGGTCGTCTGACATTAGCTACAAATTAATGCACATACATATGTATGTATGTACGGTTTGATATATGTATATGTACTTTCCAGCCCCTTTTCAGCATCCTCTCAACGTGTTGGTACCATCATTGAGGTAGAGCTAAGCTGAGTGGAAAACTAATTTCGTTACCTATATATATCTATACAAATATCCATATACATACGTATGTTGTTTTTTATTGATTCAAATTCGTCTTTATGGGCCTGTGCCAATTGATAGAAAAGTTCTATGGTGGAAAAACTTTTTACTATGGTGAGAAAATTTTACATTTCTGCTGTGCCAATTCGTAACTTTTTACTGCTGGAAATTTTTGACAGTTGCTTTGATGCACAAGAAGACTATCGAGTTTGCTATTTATAAAATGCAGCAATTATATAGAAAATATTTGCCTTTGATGATTTCAATTCTTCTGGAACTAAACTCCATGCATTTATTAGACCTTTTAGCAGTAATATTAGAAATAAAAACACGTCAAAACCGTCTGGTAAGTGTGTTCACAAAAATGTTTAAAACCGTGTACAATTGTTTCCAATAAAAACATATGTCGTTTTAGGGTATTATGTACATGCAACAAGAAGTTTATTCCAAAATACTAAGCAGCATTATGAACGGCGATAACAAGACTACAAAAATGTATCTTAGGTTGTCCTCTGCTTCGTTTCGAAAAATTGTAACTCACATTCCCAAAAAGCGCCACGGATGGTCAGTGGAGTACGAAGTCATTTGCTTAATAAAGTCTTCAAATTATTTATATTGTTCTTACTCACTTCCAGCTTTCGTTGCTGTTGGCGTTCTTTGAACTGAACCAAACATCCTTGTCAATGCGCTTTTCCAGAAGGATTCTGCGTTCTGAACTGCTCCCTGTAAAATAGTATTTTTAATTAAAAAAATACATAACGCCTTTTTATATGTAAATCTGAAATTAAATCTTACAAGTTATATAGCTTTTCTTTATTTTTTTTTGCCGGCGGCACCATGTTCTTTTATTTCCACTAGCTTTTGTTTTCTTTAATTTATGTGTATACGTGCGTTGTTCGTTCTTCTTCTTGATAATGCTTGCTGTCAAATTTTTCACTAGCCCTGCCGTATCAAACATTTTTATTCACCTCATAGCTGTCAAAAATTTACTATCCAGAGAACTTTTCTATCAATTGGCACAGGCCCTATAACTATAACTATAACTATATACATATACCTATCGGCTTGACAAGGGGTGTTCACATAGCATTAGTAATGCAGGAATATTAGCCAACAAAAAAAAATTAATGTTATTGTGGCTTGTTAATATTTTATTTTTAATATTTTTATTGAGCTTTGTACCACGATTGTTTATTAGGAAAAATT